CAAGAACTCAACTGCTATGAAAATAATGATCTGCGGTCTGGGAACTTATGATAATTGTTTTCCCAGCAGTTACTTGGCATTTAATAGATTAAACAATTAAAAACAGCAATTAATACAGAATACAGTGGAGGGTGACAGCTGGCAGGTATTTGTACATGTCAGCTTTTGATTCTTGATGTTGGCAGTAGATGAAAAGTCAGGGGAGCATCATCATCATCATTCACTTCCAACATTTGTAACATCCAAAAATCAACCTGATGGTGGCGCTGGTGGAAAAGTCAGGGAATACCAAAGTCGGCACCATCCAGAGAAAATATACAAATATGAAATGATAAAGGAAAATCATCCTTAATTACAGCTCCATTTTAACAACCGCCCTGCTGATAGGTTTTTTCGTTCTGGCATTCATTCATCTTAACAGTGCAAGTCGAGTACGTTTAAACAACACCTGACCAATGGACAACTCAGCTTCATCCCAAAATGTTCAACAAAAGACATTTTTCAGAACCAAACAGATCCATTCATGAGTACTCTGAGGTTGACTCAGCTGCCATTTAGCCGCTTCGTAAATCACTCTTAGAAGGTAACATCTCATTACCACATATTTACCTCAGTGTTCAGCAATAACCTTGGGTCAAACACACACTGTAACACTTCTTTCACTGTCATGTCTTCACGGTGTGGCTGTTAGCTTGCCAGATGGATGTGGTGTCCCTGGTATTCATACTATTGTTCCATGGTGACAGACAAGATTAATAAGACATTCCTTCCATTGTTCAAACAGATGAACGTATAACCTACATAAGTAAGGTATTCAAGTTTTGTATCAGGTTGGTTACACATTTAGGTGAAGACACATCACAGCTCTATCACAAAGCAACATATTAAAGTATCACAGGAGTTCTGGAGTACAGATAAAGCTTCTTATCACCCAGAAGTGTGTGAAATACAAAAATGCTGTCACTATACAGTGCATTATCACAATCTACTGATTAAAAATATGTATAAAAATGTTTGTTTTCGATTATGTTGACTAGTCTTATCTTTATTTTGTCTGAATAGGCAGTTTTGAAAAAAACCTCAGCAACTTATCAAACCCCTGAGATGATCATTTTGTGGTCTGTCTGGGTTGCACCTTTACACCCGTGGCAATGAAAAGATGAGCGAAGGTGACTTAATTTTTCTCAAAGGCATTAGGACTGTACCAAAACAGAGTAAGACCTCACAGCTTTTCTTTACCGCAGGAAAACCCAGTGGCACAACAGGTTTGTCTTAGTTAGATGCTGTTGCAAGATGGACTTCCAGCGTGCAGATCAAAGCATCTTTGTCTTGGCAAACGCTCGAGGACTTCAGCCTGACAGTTTCATTCTAAGTCAGTGAAATTCAGCCGGAGCATACCATCAAGCAAATGCCATGTCAGCTTAAAGGAGCCACATCTTAACAAGATGTTCTTCCAGCATGCAACACTCTGAGAAAGGAGGCTTTGAAAAAAGGAGGGCTATTTGACAGGAACTCTCACATAGATTTTATCTTCAACTCAGTGACATGTGCTTTCAAGCTAATCTTAGATCAAACTGGCTTTCACACAACAATCCAAAACTGAGATTTCATGAGATTCCAGGAATCATCAGACTTCTGAACTTGGGTAAAACCAAAACATTACAAAATACAACTTAGTCATCAGCTTGAGTCTGTATCTAGTGAATCTGAATGCTCCATGGTCAGTTCCTCACACCTTATTCCTACATACTGAAGCCTGGTGTAAATGCATCAGCACTGAGCGCACATCAAAAAATTAACTTTACAATGACAGAGTCAGAATAATCAAAATACCTCTGTAACTTTTCATTCTTGACATTTAGTATAGTTCAAATAATGTGGAGTAATCAAGATTTCAGAAAAGTTCGTTTTCAGGAGTGCAAGGCTGGTCTGCAGGAACAGGAACAGGCTATGCTTAGCAGAACATTAGTGGCCTGGGAATGAGAACGACCTCAAAACCAGCCTCATTTCGCAGGACAACACACACCATGGACATGTGAAACTTTACAGCAGACCATATGCTCTGACAGCGCACCTCTTTGAAATGTTTAGATAATTCCACCACATGATAACTGCTGCCATGAGGGATTACTAGGATCAACAAATGTCATGACATACACTATAATCCGCACTGTCAGACCATGTGTGTCTAGCCTCGTGTGACCTGCCTGGCACTGTGTGTTCCACCAGGGTGTGTCACCCTCACCAGGGTGGCATGACCCCAGATGACAGGGAGCCCAGCTGGATAACAGGCCGCCTGTTGGCAGGCTCCAGGTGCCCCCGCGAACGGCCGCAAACTACCAACCACACAACATCAAACGTAAGCAAAAAAGTAGACAAAATGAAGGCACAGACAAAACAAAAGCCAGACAAAATGAAAACAAAGACCACTGTTGCCCTTCCTCTGGCACACCACAGTGTTTTTCAGCCTTTCGTTGCCAACCACAGACTGAGAACACTGACACAGGGAGAGCATCAGCATTCCCTCACTTGGCTGCCGAAGCTCTCAAATGCAGCAGATTGAGAACAGACACTGCCAGAAGGTGAGGCACCACGTGGCGATTGTGATTTCACAATAGATGAGATAGAGCATTCGTGTCTGAAAGCTCCCTGATATCCCTGCAGGGGGAAACCATCTCCACAGAACAGGCATGTTTTCATGACACTGGATGCCTGACTCACACAAGCCTCATCTCCTTTTCTTACAGTATATTACAGGGCTGTACAAGTTTAAATGCTCACACAGAAAAAGAAATGTTCATGTAAGGCATCATCTGATATGGGTGAAGCTCTTAACTGTTAGAAATGGATTGCCTGTTGTAGGGATGGGTTACACACTGCATAGTAATGGATCCTAGTCAAAAAACAAGGCTGAACCGGAACATGAGCCGGCCCCGTTTCACCACATATAATAATATTATATACTAGTAATAATATTACTTTCCCCAGTAACAAGTAGTGTAAAAACTTACAAGTTAAAATTCTGTATTATCAGAGTTACTGCGGCCAAAAACAACTTGTTATAAAGTTACTTTTGTTGCCACCACAGCAAAGATTGATTTGAAATCCAGCATTTAATATTCATAGTTGTCGCACGTGCGCACATCACTACATGGTGGTGTGCTTTTCTAGCGTGTAACTTTTATGGATTCATAGGCTCCAGAAAAATCCCTGCTAGTCTGAAACCTTAGCCATCTTTACTGTGATTACCCCGACACTGTCTCAGCTAGGAGGTGCATTTTGAGGAGAAAGGATGCACTCGTAATACAGCGAGTAGTGTAACAAGTTACTTTTGACAGGAAGTAATAAGTAAAATAATAATATTAATTTTGAAAAGAGTAATATATTTTATATTACTTATTTATATTCTATAATATTTTATTTTTTTTTGAGTAATGAGCCCAACACCGGTCCGGCTCCAAACAGAGACAATGCGGGCTGCTCTCCTCCGAACTACCGAGGTTTGGGATAACGACCTAGACAGACTGAGCTAAATGGAGAGTCTGAAATAGGTCAGTCAAACATCTAATGGGATACAAACAAGCCCCTATCTACATAAAATCATCCACATGCTCACATGGACACAAACAAACCCCCATCAGAGACAAATACTTGGATGTACCCAGGCCATCCAGCCAACAGGCATTATTAGATGGGTTAATGGGTCCTGAGCCATTCAAACAGCAGGCTTTAGTCAAGCATGCTACTCAGGCAGTATAATGGTGTGATAGCTAGAGGGGTCGGGGGGGTCTCGAGGCCTAGCGGTACCAGCTGCAGTGAAAGCAATTACAGCTTTGCCCCTTCGCTGTCTGATAGCGCCTGTCCACCAGTTTACCTCAAGTTCAAACGCAGGCTTTCACAGTGAGGTTTTAATATGTTACAGGAGAATAAATTCCTGCTTCACATAAAACATCTAGGAATGCAAAGTAAAATGAAAGATAAGTGTTTGGAAATGGAAAAAAAGAAGTTAGATGAAAAAAGTGGAATGTGTAAAAAAAAAAAAAAAGCAAAAAGTTTGGTTACATGAGAAAATGGACTGTGATTCATGCTTGAAGAGACAATATTTATCTTAGTTAAATGGAATATTTGAAATCTGCTTGGGTAAATTTCTGCAGCCACCTTTATCTTTAAAATTGTGTTCAGTTACAAGATTCCTTTAGTTATTAAAAGCATGTAATAGCACTTCTGACCAAGTCTGCATTGCAATGTTATTAAAGTGCAGAACATATGGAAAACGTTGAAATAGCATGACGAGTTAGAAACATATAATTACCTTAGAAACATGAGGGATAATAACATCAGCATGTGTGACAGTTGCTTGCAGCAAATCGCTATATCTGAACTTGTACTGCAGGAATTCTGATCTTTGGCTCAAAAACAGCGTGAGCTGATCCACCTTCCAACAGTAGTGATTAACAAGGTGGAGAGAGTTAAAGTAATGAGATTAAATACTGACACTCTTTGTAAATGTGTGCCAAGTCAGTAGAAAAACACTCAGAAGCACAGAGTCTCCCAACTTCCCCCAACAGTCCATCACACACATTCATCCAGGAAACACTGGACAGGGACACTCTCACAGTCATATGAGAACAAAACATAAATCCACAAACAGGAAAATGTGCATAATCACTCATGTCAAAATGCATGTCAAAACAAGCTCCGAAGCCAAAGGGGAAACTTATGAACACACATACAAAAACACAGACATACAGAGGCAGTGACTGACAGCTTGCATTAAAGTAAGGGCAGGCCCGGGCATGGCACCGGTGGGGTGACGCAAAGCAATTAGAGGCATTTTTTAGATGGTAATAGCTGTGTACAAGCTATACAGTCTATAAAAGCTTTTCATTCCAGGCACGGAGACGAGCAATAAAATTGGCCAGTCCATGGCTGGTCTCTGCTCCAAGAACATGGAGGGACAGAGCAGAGAGAGAGATAAAGGAGTAACAGTAGTTTCTTACTTTGGCATGAGGGGATTTCACAGTATCTCCAGTAGATCCCGTCTTCGTGATCGGCAATGTAACACCAGGGCTGAACGTCCCCATCAGGATTCCTGCAGACATACAGGGGTAAAAGTTGGACCACTAAGCTGGTTAAATCTGATAACATTTATTTTCTCTATGTATTGGTTGATTCGCTGTGGTGACCCCTAACGAGAACAGCTGAAAGAAGAAGAAGAAGAAGAAGAATTGGTTTCCTGTTCAAAATTAGCAGTCTTTATTTTCCCGCCAAAAATTGAGCTTTTGAAAAACTTTCTCCAGAGTGGATAAAAGCAAAAACACCTCCCCTGTGTTTTAGCGCAGATTGGGAACACAGAGTCTTTGGAAACAGCTTTTTCCATCCCCCTTATCCACTCTGTGATCACTCATTTTCGATTTTATTATAACCAAAATATGTGTTAAACTGCATCTATGCTCATTTGTCAACTTGATAAAAACGTGTGAGTCGGATGTCTCCGCGCGCCACTACAGTGCAGGAAATGCTGTTGGCCTGGTTTCTCTATTTTGCTGTGAATATAGTTTTGGAGATCTGTTGATGAGGCGATGAAGGTTAAAAAGAAAGAGAAGTTAAAGGTGGTAGAGGTGGTAAGGAAAGGACAAAGAAGTGATGGCAGGGAAATGAGGGTGAAAAACCACAACACAAAGACGGATTTAAACACTGCTGCTCTGGGCTGAATACTCAACAGTGTTTCAAAGGATGATTACTTGGCTGTGTCAATCATCCCCAGTAGCACCCCTTGGCATTTGTTGGTTTAGCCTCTTCCTCTGCACCCTAACTATTTATATCAATCAAGAGCCAGACCAATGAGTCTTTGATGGGTGGAGGTGGTTCCAGACCTGCTAAAGGACTGGGTGATGGGACAAAGTGTTTGTCTGAGGCTGCAGCCTCTTTTCAACCTCATCAAGGCACTTTTAAAAAGGCTGACAGGCTCCTCTGTGTTTTTGCTTTTCATTTTCACTTACAAACGTGATGGGCAATGGTACTGAATTCCAGGAGAAATACCTAAAAGCTTTGTGCATGCTCCATATTTCCAGGGTTATCATGCATCATCGTGTGAACCCCATGGCAACTTCTAAATTGCAAATAAATCAAAGAAGCTACTGTAGCATTCAGGTGTTTAATGCGTTTGAATAAAAAGATGCCAATGTAGCATGCAGTGAGCGCTCATCCTGGTACTTGTTTCAGCTCTTTAAGCTCCATTTCATTTTGAACTGAAAAAATACACTAACTAAAAAAGCCTTCTAAGATGACATTGCTATTTTTTAGCCATGACTGTAATTGACATAGACCTTTTCACTTCTTCTTTCACGTACTGCATTGTAGCATCTTGAAAGGGCCCCGCGGCGCTGCGCTATCCTGTTTCGCCTTTTGTGAGCAAAGTTGTGAAGGGCGTTTCCCTTTCTTTTCTTCTCCTATCAAAAACACTATCCTAAGTTTCCTCCTCTCTTTTCATACTCAGAATCAGATACTGACAAAGATGTTATTGTAAAGATTTTTTTGGGGTTGAACTCAAGCTTAAGTACCTTAAAGCCCATCTCTCTCAATATCTGGCAAACAGTTGCCACTGTCTTTCTTACAGCCTGTCAACAATGGAAATACGTATATGAATAAAGAGCTTTTCTTGTCATGTGTTGTTCTTTGTTCAACTTTTTTGCAAAACAACTTCTCTCAACCTGAAATTTTCCCATGTTCACAGGAAACCTGCCTTGTTTTCCAGTAAATTTTGTCACTGTACCATGAGCCCAGATCTGTTTGTTGCTCCACCTAGATAGAAGGCGGCCACCTGTTTGTTTAGCCCAAGGTTACTGCTAAAATGATTTAAAAGAGCAAAAACTAAATCCAACCACCAAAACACTGAATTACACTGGATACCCTGTCTCTATTTCTTTCTCCCCTTCTTTCTTTCAAGCCTGTCAACATGTAATAGCACCATTTGAAATAAGACTCCCAAGAACTCATCTATGGCCAGTTGTGTAATTTAGTTCACTTTCCTAATCACCCCCTAAGGAGACAGACATGAATTACAGTCATCAGTGTTGAAAAAACATCCTAAGTAGACCACCCATCCTATGTCCGACCCACCAGCATCTTTGATCATTAAATGATGTGGTGTGCCCCTCTGAGCTTTCTTCTAAACCCCGGACCCCAAACACTGTTTCATGCCTCTCTCTCTCTCTCTCTATCACAAACACACACACACCTGCATAGATGCTTTTAACAGAAGGATGGGAACATCATCCATGGGCTAAGGTGAACAGGCCGGCACACATGACAGAAAAACATAATCAATTCTGTCGCAAGGTGCCAGTGTGTTGGTGTGGCCTTGGGTGTGTGTTTGTATGAGGGGATGGAGGGTAGAACAGACACTAGAAAGCAGACAGTCTCAGATTAGCTGAGGTGCTACAGTGCAGATAAGAGCTGAACATGATGGATGGAAATCCATCTGTTTAACCCAGCCACACAGAGAAAGGCTTTGTCCCAGAGGCGACACACTGATAAACGTTGCTGTCAGTCTGTATATACAAGTGTGTGTGTGTGTGTTTGGGTTTTTTTGGAGAGTTGCATTCACATCCATGTGTGTGAGACATTGCCTGCTTGAATCAGAGTAGAATTGCTTGTTGAAACACCACCATACCTGGAGGTAGATCGCAGAAGATGTTTGGACCCTTAATTGGCACAGTTGTGCTGATTGACTTACTTTGCTGAGAGTGAGCCGCACACCTCGGTCCTGAGCCCATTACAGCCACACTGCATTTTGCCCCACAAAGCTCACCAGTTCTGCATTTGAAGACTGGATAAGATCTGAACACTGACAGAAACAGCTGTTCGTGGCTGGCTGTGGCTCAGAGGTTTTCCTATAATAAACATTTTCCACATACTGTACCTTAATTAATCAGAAAATTTATGATCATCTTTAAAATGCCTGGCACCATGAAAATACATCACAGTACATGCACAAACGCTGGAGTGACATGCTTCCAGTTGCCTTTTATGATATAAACTTTCTAACGTGACTTTGTTTAGTTAAACTAGCAGATGTGTAAATGAATGAAACAAAGGCTTTGCAGAATTGGAGAGAGGAGAAATGCTGATTGCAAAGTAGCGACGAGAGTCTTGTCTGGTTTGGGATTTGAGGTCAACAGCAGAACAGTCTGGCAATTTACTGCCAGAGAGAAGAGTCTTTAATTGACTTGGATGATTTAGCATGCAAACTGCTGCGCTGCATGAATGCATGCATTGAAGAAGAGGACGTGATGGTTGTGGGCTGATATTTATAGTCTACTGTCTATTGTTGTTCTCTCACAGCTCATTAAGTCTGAGGTCAGGACATTCCTGTGTCATGTGTGGCTGGTAAACACACCACCATGTTCCATGAGTTATGTCTTTAAAGAATCAATTCACCTAAATTACAAAGGAACTTTTTCTCAGCCATCTCTATAAATAAGTGTAGTTTTATTTTGCCCAGGATTTAAGATATGTGTTTCTGAGATTTCTGCCTTCAGCACAATACAGTGGAGATGACAGGAATTTAATTTACTCACAGCAGCTATATCTTTCCAGAAAAACAATCCGCCTTATTCTGGGTAAGCTACTGTCACTGTCAACAGTTTTAAAACTTTGTCTTTAGTAGAGTGAAGGTCAAATTAAAACTGTTAAACTTAAAGGTGAACCACTGTAACCAGGACAATTTGCGTGGAAAGAGAATGATGGGAAGACGACGAAGACCATCACAAACAAACTGGGACTGATTATTTTGGACACCCCCGACTCTGGAAGGAAATGTCCCATTAATATGTGCCATAGACAACGTTATGGGACTCACAGCTGGAGCACTTGTACAGCTGGAAACAGAATGAAGCTCTTCTGGTTAAATCATCAGTAAAACTATGTCTGAAAATATCTGTTTTATTGAGAAAGAGCAGAAGGTACAAACCTGTGAGCACAAAATCTTAGAGATAGAGGTTTCACTGTTAAGAAAAGTGACATTTCAATCTGGATCTTAAATCAATTTGGATTCTGGATCAATTTTGAATTCATTCAACAACTAGAGCACAGTGTTTGTTCACAGACTCAACAGTGAAGCGTTTGGAAATGTCATTCTGATACATGACTATGACTGGCACTTTCTCCTTAGCTACAGCAGCTGAGGCTCATGGGTTCTTTAGCATTTTGAGCTGCTGCGCCAAGTTGATGATTTGTCCAGCATAAAGCTGAGATAATTAAATGTGACAGTCATAACAAAAACCTGTATGACTGTTACATTATCTGGGAGACTTATCCAGAAGCACTGATCTTACACTCAACGTTTAAAGTAAAGTATTAATCATAAGAATAAAACCAGCGGCCCTCTCACATCACAGGTTTATTAGTTGGGTGCCAAAATGTGAGAAAGTGAAATCTCGAAACCTGGGTAAACAAAACCAAAACCATCTGCATGTTAAAAAAAACCCAGTTCAAAAACATGTTTGTAATTTGGATGAACTGACTCTTCAAAGACAAATGTCCAGACATATAAAGAGTAGATTCTATTACACGCCGCTGGTTTTGATTCCAATATTGCTATAATGGCTGATGCTTAAGCACCACACAGTGCTCCTCATGAGACACTTCTATTTGTGTCTTCAATTTAACACCGCAGCGCGCTGGGATCATAATGCAGTCATACAAACAGCGGACAACTTGGATGCAGCTTGCTTGACCTCAGATTTGCACCTGACATCATGGAGATCCAATTACAATCAACTTGGGGGAACACTATTCACCCTGGCATTTCCATTATCTCATCTATGTAAGGGAAATACATTAGAAGCCACAGTGGGTGCTCATAAATTCTACTGTACACACACACACACACACACACACACACACACACCTGCATTTAAATAGCCAGGAAGAGGTTGGTAAAGCTATTCAACCACACACTAAACTGTCACACACTTCACACTAATACTAATGCACCGGGGAGAGGGTCCAGCAGCAGCATAAGACCAGTAAACAATAAAATATAAATCAGGGCTTTGATTTGTATGAACACCATAAAAGCCACTATTCTGGAGGTCTCTGTGAATTAGAAAAGGTCAAAAAGTACTTAAGAACAGCACTGCTGTGTTATGACTTTACAACTTAGAGAAAAGCTTCAGAGATTTCGGGCCGATGAGGAAGGGGGTGTCCTGTCTCCTAAGGCTTGGCGTTCAGGGTCAAGCCACTGTTCTGGATGTCTCTGTGAATTAGAAAAGGTTAAAACGTACTGAAAAAGCATCTTGTTTAAATGTACGAGCACAAACCAACATCAGAGCTCAACACCAGACTTGTTGATACTTTTGTAGAATGTACTTCTACTTCAAGATGTGAAATGATTTCTGAATGGAACCATGCTGATGATTAGTACTGTAATAATCACTGATGCAATTAGTCTCAGCTGAGACACAAGAGTTCTTGTCTTTTTCCTGAGGCTTTCTGCTCCTTTTTGCAGGGAAATAATGTGACATTTCCTCTGTGCACACTTTCTCCCTGTTTTCACTGGGGTATTTTATAGCAGGCTATAAAGATGAAATGTTTAGGATCCTTTCTTTAGCATCACTGTGGTGCCTTCTTGATTAAATCACCATCGGGAAAACACCAGTGATGGGAGGAGTGAGTTTGTAATACTCTGCTTCTCGACACCTGATACGTGCTTAGAGTCGTGTGTTAAAGACACGTAGTGAATCCTGGCTTCAAGTTAACCACCTGTGCTCCGACCTCAGCTCTCAGCTCACAAAACCACAACTGGCCTCAGGGCTAGACATGTCAAAACCTCCCTGGCTCTCCTTTTTACCCCTCCATCTCTGCTCCCTCCCACTTTTGTCAAAGAATTACAACTGATTATGAAGTTCTAGCCAGAAACATCCACAAATATTTAAGCCTCAGACCAACGACAACCAGAGATGAGTAGGGAAAAGAGAGGGTTAAAGAAATATTGGAAACAGGATTTCAAGTGCAAGATGAACATGTAAATAAGGAGATTTGCAATCCAAATTGAGCAACAACATCCAAGGCAGTCCCCCACATAGCTGGAAAAAACAGGTCACAGACCAGCTCCCTAGGATCCGGCATTACACATCTTTCCCCAGGGTGCGATAGCCCTCTCCTCTGTGGGCATGTTCACAACATGTGCAACAGTGGCGCACACTCGTGGGTGGACACATGCACAAATACTTGACCCTGTGCAGACATGCCATAAATGCCATCCCTCATTTTTCTCACACTGAAGTGGTCACTTTGGTCCCCACGGCACTGAGCCTCTGTACAAGGAGGGCACCCGAGAGAGACTGGGAACAGTTGCAGCTACGGCACTAAAGTGGTAGAAATCCCTCTGTCAGGAAAGAAACAAAGCTTATGGTGGGAAAGCTGCTGTAACTGCACTGATGGCCAAAGAACAAAACAACCAAACAAACACAACAGCCAAATCCGAACAAGAAGTCCATTTTGAATTGTTTGCTGGACATAATACATTCTTAATGTGCAGGGAAAGCCTTCCCCAATCTTCTGCATGTATCCTAGTCATAAATGATCCAAATTCTTGTCCAGTCCAAATAAAAACACATCTGTCCGATGCCACTTGAAAGCATTGCTGTGTTATGACTTTACAACCATGACTTAGAGAAATGCTTCAGAGGCTTTGGGTTGATGAAGAAAGGGTGTCCTGTTTCCTATGGCTTGGCGTTCTGGGCCAAGCCACTGTTCTGGACATCTCTGTGAATTTGAACTGACTCACAAAAGAGTGTGGCCTGCAAATTCATAACTTTGACAGTCGTGTATACAATGCTAACACTCGTGCATAGAGCGTGACAGATGGAGAGAAAGCCTCTGTGTCCCTCCACATTCTAGGAATGAGCAATGAGACTTGCTTACACAAACTCTTGAAGCCTGTTTGCGTCCTTGTGACGACAGGGCTAAACATTCTGTTTGGGTGCCACCAATAAAATATTCAGAGAAATATGTCTGAGCAGGTCTCCTGCACTCAAACCATTAGCAAAATGACAAGGACCTGGTTCTAAATTATTCAAAAAGTGAAATGTTTTGTCTGGGAAGTTCAAAGCTCTGTCGAACATCAGTACCAGCCTGTCTTAGAAAGATGATTTTCAAAGATGATACTCAGACCATTTTGACATCAATAACATAAATACTATTTTTAATAAACAAGAGAACTGCTTGGCAGATTTATACAGTCAGAGCCACTGCTTAGGATTTTGTGGTAAGTCTGCTGGATTTCACACACAAAAGGAGACAGCTTAATAAAATTCAAGAGGGAGCGGTTGTTATTCTTCCAGGTAGCCAGAGCTGAAGACTACTTGAGATGCTGGGTGGTGAAATGAGTGAAAAGCTTGCAGAACAATGCCTGAATGAACTCTTACCCTTAGCTCTATACAGTCTGCAGCCCCTGTAAAACAAATTGATCTGGAGCGACAGCAGGTGTTGTCTTGATTTCGGAAAACAAAGATGCTCTCAGTAACTATTTCTGTGAGACAGTAACTAGTAGAATGGTCTTTTTGTTTACAGGAATCGTAAAAATGCACATCATTCAACTAATAATTTTATGTTCTTCTAGGATTTAAGGCTTTTCTGTAAACTGCCATTATTTTCTAGTGCAACATTGAAAAGTTTAAGACCTGCAAACCACTAAGGAGTCACTAGCCAAAAAGATTTGAAAACTCTGCTTTACAGATTAATTAGTTCCATAATAGTTGATGCTATATATGCAAACGAGTCAGAAACCTAACAAAATTTTATTTTTATGATTTAATGTGGTCCTAAGAAGTCCTTTGATTTGGCCTATCACCTATAAACAATGTATCTGTATTATTTGAGGGGATGGCTGTGGATCCTGAACCCCTAGTTGCCCCCGGTGATGTGACCAGTGTGTGAATTTGGGAGTGACACTGAATTCCATAAAGTGCTTTAATATCCTGTAGGTCACAACCAGAATATCTTAAAACCCAGGAAACAGTCGGTTTATTAACTTCTTGTATCATCATGGTTAATACATGGGTTACGCTATCAGTACCCTTCTAGATCAAAGAATGCGACTCACCTGCAGTAGTTGTGGCTGCCCAAACCACCCTCTCCGTTGGGATATTTGAGGGTGTTATAAGGGTGCTGGAAGGTCTCATTCCAGAAGAGGCAGGGTTTACCACCATGCAGGCTGGTCTGGTTCTGGAAGCCCCTGTAGTCCTGTCCGTTGGCAGTGTAACACTCTGGAAAGAAAGAAATGAAATGGAGAGAGTGTAAAGAATTAAACATAAATCCATGTCTATTAAAAAGGAAATCAAAAGCTTGGTGCATGTAAAAGGCAGCCACATATGTGACCTGCTTTGTTGAGAATCTGGATTCTGTGAAATACTCTCGTGCTAATAAAATATTTTAATGTGTTTGGAATGATCACAGATGGTAAATTTGGAATAACTGTATTCTTTGCCCAGGCACAAATCATTTAAAGCTCTGGCCAAAAGTGATAAAGTGAGATCAATCACAGTATTGTTTCAATTAATCTCAACACATGGGCATAAAACAAAAATATACCAGTGATACAGCATACGCAAACATGGCTTAAAATTCCAGGAAGTGAATGACAACCATATGGCCAAGTCAGAGAGAGAGAGAAGCTTTTCTTCCCTGAGAGAGGAGATTCAAATAAACAACGGCTGATGGGAGCATGATGAGCCATCGCCACTCAATGCACTGACCCTCAGGGAGGGGGAGGGCTCACATCAAGTTTTAACAGCTACAGTACAACTGAATCCCACTTTTAATTGTGTTACAATGGAAATGATCAATCTGTGTTGTGACTGCTATGACTGCTCACACTGCAGGTGCTCAAATAACTGTTGAAAGCTCCTTCCAGCGTAGCCAGCAGGGACAGAAACAGGCCTGTTGACATGTTACTGTGTGTAAAGCAAATGCCAAATATGCCACAAGGGCACAGTTTGAGCTTCTGATATATGGCTTTTATGTACACATGATGCTTTCTAGTTCTAACTGTCAAGCAAGAGCACGTTAACATCATGCCTGTCAATCAAACATTAAGAAGAAAGAAAACAGTACACGCTTGTTTGGCTCATCGCCATGATATCTTGCTGCTATGTATGCGATTAGCCAGTGACCAGCCCCTTTCATCACGTCAAGCTGCCTGGCCTGAGTATGAGCTAATGCAGTGCAATATGCCCCTTGGTGGGCCAGCTGTGCTCTGAGTCTCTTTCTTATTCTCTTCCAAGGAGTCCAACACTTCAACATCCTCTCTCTCTCCCTTTTCTTATCATCTGTTCTCCTCTCTCACCTTTTTTCTGCTGCTTTTGCCTGTTCTGACGACCCCTTTCAACTCATATACACACGTCTTTGGGGAATGCTTAGCCTCTCAGCTTTGTAATGCAACTCCTGTAGTCTGTTGCCAGGTCCATCCTTAGATGGCAACCTCTGGAGGTCATTTCATGTAGGTCTAGTAGAGCTGGGTAAAATCAATAATGACAGAATGCTTTAAAAAGAGTTATTTCCTTATTTGTGGAAGAAACTTCTAAATGGAGCATGGATATTTCTGTCCAAAGCTGCCTGAGAGTGTGGCGGTTCGAGTAACCACAGTCTCTGAATCAAACTTTTAACAAATTACATTAGAAGATGTTCAGAATGTAATTACGTGTAGAATTGTAGGGCCTAAACAATAAATAAATGTTTCACATGCTTGGTAATTAGCTTCCCATGCTTTGCATATTTACAGCAGTTAGTTTCCAGCCTCAGGCATCTATCACAAAAGTACTGCTAACACTTAATTTCAGAGTAAATCAGAAGCCCTGGCCGTTCTCAGCGTGTCAGCAAAGGTTGTTTTTAATTAAAGGTGTCTCGGCTGTGTTGTTCACTCAAGCTTATCAGCTATCCATCGTTGAGCTGACAGGAGTTCAACAGCAGCAGGGAGCTGCAGGGTGTCAGGTTCCTGCAATTATGATGCCACTCCATTGTCTGTAAATGGCTCCCCTCTCTCTTAGCAAATTAATACTGCCTTGGCATGCAAGGATATCCACCAGATCATAAATCCACCTGAGAGTAGCTGAGGCAGAACACAACTCCATAAAATTAGAAAAACTGCTTAATGGTGTTACAACGGGGGTCATGCTCTTGCCACTCTTACACGAGGGAGTGATGAGAGAGGTGGAGGAAAGAAGTTATTGTTGGGTTGACACCCAGAGGACAGGAAAGGTGTGGTAAATAATGCACAGTTGGAATGTCTGAACTGTTGCATGTGCAAAAAATGCAGAGCCCCACAAAGCAGTGTTTACCCTGTAGGAAACTTGGGGGATAAGAGGGTGTTCTGACACCAACATTAGAGCTAGCGTCCCTGGTATAGATGAAGAATGACAGCATTTGAATATGAATTGTATGGCATGGTATATACTAATTTCAGAAGATGGGAATCGTGTTATGAATTTTCATTTTCTTTGGACACTGCCAGCCACAGAAGAAAGCAGAAGGAAGCACTGCTTTTGAGAGTTTGGCAGCGGAAAGAACACAATCATGACTCACTGCTCCCTAAATGCAATCACGACTGTCACTTGCCCCAGTCAGAGAGGATAACATCTGGCAGGGCAACCGATTGCATCTCATATGAGCTCATGTCCTTCAAATATGCTCTTTTTGAAAAGAGTGAGGATTAAAATGACTGATCTTGTCCGCATGCAACGTTGCTCAACGCACTGTATTAAAAAGAAAGAGTCACATGTCTTTGTAACCGTCTCTCCTCTCGCTTCAGGAGTTTCAGGATGAAGCAGAGCTTGTCTACACATGGTCCACTTGGAACAAGCTGCTGCTGGCAGTCATCCTGCCCTGCTGCAGCCAAGTTAGCTTTCCAGAACAAGATGGCAAATATGGCAGCGTTTTGCCACCGGGAGGGAGACGGGGGTTGTTCCATGTGGTTTCAAAGCACCATTTTCTTGTGGTTGGAATGGGAAGTAGCAGATCTGCACGGACTCAGAGAAAAGTGAGGCCATCATAAAGATGAATGGGCCATTTAAGAGCCCTGCAAATGGCCACATATCTATCAAGCTAAAGAGAAAAGGCCAATTTCACATTGGAACAGTGTGGATATGGACATTGTCCTCGAGGAAATGAAGAGCTCTTCTGCTGATTGAAACATTACCACTTCAGGCCCACTCCACTCCGAGCACACCAAGCGCCCCCCACCTCACACCCCTTTCCTTGTCACTAAGCAACTGTTGGCTTCTCGTCAGATGGGCCAGGGCTTTCTTGTGGTTTCATCATAGGCCGAGATGGGAAACAGAACCACTACCGCATGAAAGACAGAGAAGGGGGGGTGGGGGGCTCCTATAAAATACATTCAGATCTGCAAATAGAAAAGTGCGGGAAGGGGAAGAGGAGGACTCGCCCTTGACCAAGCCCTGCATTCACAGAATACTGCACCACCCCTGCAACGAGAGAGCAGAGGATCACTGCAGAGAGCTAATCGCCCTGTTATTATATTTGTTGTGATTTGTAGCTAATGACTTCCACATTGCAACTTCAAATGTACTTGATTCTCTGAGAAAAGGATGTGGGGTTGCACAAAATGAGAGACAGAAAAGAGTATGGGGCTTTGGTCATGTGCTATCAAGATCACAAACAAACAAGCTTACAAACAAATAGTTTCTCTGCAACGTGTTGCACAGTAACACAAGAGCACTTATTTGTTGTGTTCGCTACGAGGGATGAAAAGCAGGGATAATTACAGATGACTGCTTCCTCACAGAGGGCTGACATAAAGAGCTTCCTTCCATCTTTATTATATGCTTTGAGCCCCGGGGACAGCACAACAGGCTTAGCGCATGAGCAACATTTCCACTATAATAAAATTACACACAATGAGTTTATGATGGAAATGTGCATGCACAGTGTCATGCACAAAAATTTATTGTGTAAGGCACTAACACCAGCAGAAACTGGAAGCTGCACTTTGAATGTGTACAAGGTTTATGAGACCTTCCACAGATTAATACACAATCCGCTACACAGATTGTCCCCTACACAGTGTCCTGGTAGCCATTACTGTTGTGGTGCTCATTAATGTCAGTAGTAAGAACAGAGGCCAGATGTAGTGGGTTACAGAGTTCTTTTCTGGGGAGGAGGGGTACACACCGCTGGCTGCAACACAAGTCTGGTTCCCCTTTTCCCCAACAGCATCCATTTCCACATCAAAACCACATCAGACTTCAGAGGATCGTAGGATGACTGCTTCACATTCATTATCCAGGTTTTACAGATAGTAACAGATTCAGTGAGGCTCTTTTAATGAAGCTGGATGTTGCTGAGGAGAGGTTGGTGTTTTCTCAGAGTGGGGGTGGGGCAGTTGGCAGTTAACAGACCACACCTCACCTCCCTGCTTCTCTGATCTCTCCCCTCCTATAAGAGGTTTTTGTAAAGACACCCTCATGCGATAGGGTCAATGAAAGTGCAAATAAAGGAACAAGCGTCTCCCAAGTGATGCCTCTATTTAGTTCAATCTGAAGACAATGACTTCTCAGTGGGATCTTACAGTCCTTCTTTTTTATTTCCTGCTTTTGTCATACCTACCGGTTGTTGCCCTGAATGACCAGATCATAAACCAAGAGCTGGTTTAGCCCCAAAATAGCTTCCATCACCACCATTCATCCTGAAAAAACCCTCTGCTGCACCACCTTCTGAGTTCACTACCACAGTAGCCACAGACACACAGGACTGCCCTGCCAAAGCTGCTGGGTAGCACCTATAAAACATCAGCCCATCTCATTCTAGAATGGTCCATATAATTTAGCTCTGTGATGGAAAGAGTCTAAGCTTCTGGAGCCAGTGGTGGGGCTTTACTTCCTATCAAAACCCCCGTTTGCCTGATGCAAAAATGGAAAGATAAAAAGTTGTTTTTTGCCTCAATCTGCTCCTTAAATTCAAGTGTTATACCTCGAATGATTTTGAAAAAAAAAGCAAGCAGCAAACATACCAAACATCCACCTACGTAGGATTTCCTGTAAAGGCCGGGATGATATCTGACAAGACACGGCACAGATGGAACAAGGGCAGTTTTGGCTTGGTGAGTAGATGAGGATAGAGCGAGGTGGGACAATTCTGAGTTCTGCTTGGCAGGCATTCAGGAAGTGACTGATGGGCTGCAGTCTCTGACAGTGACGTAAAGGACATTCAGGGACTTGCTGACACCCTGGGGGAAAAAGCTGCAGGCAGAATG